TGCTTTCTTAGGGTTGAAGCCCACAGCTCTGCAGATTATGAGGGGATTTGTATGGATTGTGAAAATCCCAGCCCACTGCAGAACAGGATTTGGGAAATTAACAAGATGAGGAACTACCTTTTTTTCTTTTTCTTTTGGTTGTTGTTTCTTTTAATGTGTGCTATTTTTGTTTAAATTGCCCAAAAATTGTTTACAGTTAGCTCCAGGCATCTTGGGGGCACTGTCTCAATATATTTATGAAAGGCATAAGTTTGCTAAACATACATAATTATTCAACACAATGGTGAGTGAAGTACTTGCATAGAATCTGCACACATCTCCCTGTGTACAGTGGTAACTGTAGTACATGCACATCCTTTTTATAGTGGTACGTGTAGTGCTTGCATAGACCCTCACACATCTCCCCATGTACACTGGTGCCTGTCGTACATGCACACACCTCTGTGTACAGGCGTGAGTACAGAACTTGTGTAGAATATGCACACACACACACCTGTATACATTACACGTTCTCTACCTAACTTATCCTACATCATACAAGGTACATGCTGCAGATGTAGCTGCTGAACTGCTTTGTTCAGGGAATAATGGAAACAAAAAATGTGACAGCTTTTAGTATTGTTGCAGTTCCTTTTTTTGGAGTCTTTCCTGCTTTCGGTTTGTTGAATATTCCCATGTGGAAAGCACGGATATAGGGGCACGTGGTGGGGGGCAGCTAACTGTAAACTTGCAGGTGGACCCAGACTCACTTGTCCTTGTGAAACGAGAAGTACATTTACTGAGTGACAGATCATGTGCAGGGGTGAGGGCACTGTGCATTCCTCTGGATGTGCTCCCTTAGGAAAACAAGGTAGCAGCATCTGTATTTAGCGTGCTGGTACCCTGTGGCTGCCACAAACACCTTTCCCAGTGAGTTCTCCTCCAAGTGGTGTTTCTTTCTTTTTTTTTTTTAAGATTTATTTACTTTACTTGAAAGAGTTATACAGAGAGAGAAAAAGGCAGAGAGAGAGAGAGAGAGAGAGGTCTTCCATCCTCTGGTTCATTCCCCAATTGGCCACAATGGCTGGAGCTGCACCGATCTGAAGCCAGGATCCAGGAGCTTCTTCCAGGTCTCCCATGTAGGTGCAGGGGCCCAAAGACTTGGGCCATCTTCTACTGCTTTCCCAGACTGCAGCAGAGAGCTGGATCAGAAGTGAAACAGGTAGGTCTCAAACTGGCGCCCATACTGGATGCTGGCACTGCAAGGTGGTGGCCTTACCTGCTATGCCACAGTGCTGTGCTGGCCCCCCAAGTGGTGTTTCTTGTAGTAATTGGCAGTGAATGTTCTAGAAAGGCATGGGTGAGTTTTCCTGTATGGAAAGCAACAGCCCTGTGATTTGGCCTCTGTCAGTCAACCATGTTGTAAACGACAGGATATCATCCTTTTCTAAGGCTGAGTAATATCCCATTGTGTCCATGGCCCACATTATCTTTATCCATTTATCCACTGGTAGACACTTGAATGGATTCCACTTCTTGGAACAGGTGGACTAGCCTTGTGTGTGGCCATGCTGTGGACAGCCCTGGTGCTGTATGCACTCTGAACATTATCTGTGTCACATGCCATGTGCATCTGTTCTGGCTGCTGCCGTGTACAGTAATTTATAACCAATGGGTGAGTAACCACCCCTGTCTCTGCGTGCAGCAAGGTGAAGGCACAGTGGACTGCATGTGTGGTGCAGGTTGCTTTCCAGTCCATGACCATGGCCTTCTTGCCATTTCCTCACACAGTGGATGGAATGAGGGAACTCTCTGGGATCCCTTTTCTAAGGGCACTGCTACTACTGCTGTTACTACTATTACTATAAGAGTTCTAGTACTGCTGCTACTACTACTACTGCTGCTATCACCAAGAGTCCTACTATTACTACTGCTTCTTCTGCTGCTTCTGCTATTACTTCTAAGAACTCTACTAATATTACTATCGCTAGTACTACTACTATCAGCAAGAGTCTACTACTACTGCTGCTACTAGTACTATTGCTGCTACTATTAGTGCTACTGTAGCACTACTGCTACTACTGCTATTGCTACTATTGCTACTACTACTACTGGTGTAGAAAAGATCATCTCTTTGTGTGGCACTGCAAGCCTGCAGAGTTCACTGTCCACAACGGTAGGGGGTGGCATATGGGAGCCGGGCATGTGGGGGCCTCCCCTTCCTGCAGGCTGTGTTGCCCATGGCAGCTGCAAGCCCAGGGGGCTGCTGACATCACATGGTGGTATGGATGACTGGGTCACAGCCAGAATTTCTGGGGCGTCTGCTCTTTCATATCCCATGGTGATGAGCTGATGTGTGTGAGTCAGGGAGGAGCCCCATATTAAAGGATGTACAGGGAGATTTGCAACAACGGCATTGGTACATTTCTGGTGAGGCTTTAGCTGCAGAGGGATACAAAGGAGAAAATAGTGAGTGCCCAGCTCCGCCACCCTCCCAGGGAACTTGCTCAGCTCACACACCAGCTGCCATGTCCTTGTGTGCATGTGTGCATTTATAGGCATGTGTATATGTGGTGCAGCTCCTGGGTCCATGTCTGTGTGCATTCAATTGTGTGCATTGAATTCTGTCCCTATAACAAATATAGGTTGCAATCCCAACCCCCAGTACCTGCCAATGGGAACTTATTTGGAAACAGAGTCATTTTAGCGTGGAGGGTGAAGAGAAAGAGAGAAGGAGAGAGAGAAAGAGGGAGAAGGGGAGAGGGAGTGAGGGGAAGAGGAAGAGGGGGGAGGGGAGAAGAGGGAGGGGAAGAGGAAGAGAGAGAGAGAATATCTTCCATCTGCTGGTTCACTCCCTAAAAGGCCACAGCCAGGTCAAATCCTATGTGGGTGGCAGGGACCCAAACACTCGGGCCATCTGCTGCTGCTTTCCCAGGGGCATCAGTAGGGAGCTGGATCGGAAATGGAGCAGCTGAGACTCAAACCAGTGCCCCTATAGGATCTTGGCTTCCTAGGTGGAGACTTTACCCACTGGGCCACAATGCGGAGCCTCTGACTGCTGTTTTTATGCAGTGGAAGTAGAGTTAGTTGTTTGTGTGCGTGGGTCCTGCCACTGTCGGAAAATACACTGAAAGTGGTAGGCATTAGCTGCAGGGGTCAAGATGCTGCTTGGGACACCTGCATCCTGTATCAGAGGAACCGGGTTTGAGCCCTGGTTCTACTCTTGGTTCGAGCTTTCTGCTAATGTAGGCTGAGGGAGGCCGCAGTGATGGCTCAGGTACTTGGGTCCCTGCTACTCATGTGGGGGACTTGGATGAGCTCCCACTACTTCACCTGGCCCAGTCCTGGCTGTTGTGGGCATTTGGGGAATGAATCAACAGGTAGAGAGAACTTCTAACTCCTCCCATTCCCTCCTCTTCCCTCCCTTCCCCTCCCCTCCCCTTCCCTCTCCTCCCCTTCCTTTTCCTTCTTTTCCCTCCCTTTCTCTCCCCTTCCTTTCCTTCCATTCCCTTTCCTTCACCCATGTGGGAGGCCAGGATGCAGTTACCGGCTCCTGGCTTCAGCCTGGTCCAGCTCTGGTTGTTGTCACTATTCGGAGAATGAACTAGTGGAAGATTCTCTCTCTCTCTCTCTCTCTCTCTCTCTCTCTCTCTCTCTCTCTCTCTCTCCCCTCCCACCCCTGTCTGTCTCACACAAAACACACTCTGCATTTCAAATAAATACATATTTTAAAAATACAATACATTGGAAGCCATGCAAAAGTTCTGGGAGTAGACTATGGCACTGATTTAATGGAGTTGAATGTCTCTGGGCAGCCAAGCAGTACTGTATCTACTGCCTCAGGATGATGCTACAATGTGTCATCGCCATGCAGTCCGGACAGGTGGAAATATACAATTTATCCTCTCTTTGT